TCATAGGGGATAGGAAAGACAACATATAATTCATTTTTAATTGCACACGCCGTAACTGCACAGTGGAAACGTCTCTGGCTTGGATCAGTCATGTCCCGAATGGCTGCATCGACCAGCTTGATTACGTTGGGGTTTCAGGACCCGTATGTCATATCGCCACACTGCCACCACCTGGCTGGAGCATCCCACTGCAGGGATTTTTCTTGTAGCTGAGTAGTTTCTAACTGCCTTCCGATCCTGGAGCAGCATGCCCCAACCGACAGCTAACACCTTCCCACCGGGGAGTTGGTGTGCCCACCCTCTCTAAGGAGTGGTTCCCATTTTATCTATTCGCCGAGGCTTTTGAATTGCTGGGTGGACGATGAGCTGGGGACAACAGGCTGGCTGCTCACACCAGTGCAGGGCTCGAACTTAAATAAAATGGCTGCTAAATGAACACTCATGGTCCCGGGAGACAGGCCACGACTCCTGAGGTGCGCCAAGTAACGCAGAACCTGTTGCTCTGAACATGGAAGAGAACTCCCAGGCCCAATGGAAGTAGAAAAGGAGCAGAATGCTTGGAAGACCTTAAGGTAAGACCTGTGGGTGGAAGGTGCAATGGATTGAAATACTCCCTGCCAAATTATGTGTTCCCAAGGCTCGAAAGGTCCTCCGGGAATGGCTCCGGGGACCCTCAGTGTGTTGGGTGCCAGGCTCAGGAATCTCTTCTCCTGAAAGTGAGATGACGCATCTGTGATGTCATTATTGATACTTGCAACATACTTCGCTGAGAAGAAAATGTTACTGTCAAGGCAGGTTAAAACAAATTTACGAACAAGGCGCATGACCCGCTCAGAGCGAGTAGTTTGCCAATTAGTGACGCTCATCACGGCTTTGTTGTCACACCAAAAAGTGACCCACTTGTTATGAAAATCCTTGCCCCATATAATCACAGCCACTAGAATAGGAAAAAACTCCAAAAATATTAGATCTCTCAAGATATCAGACTCCCGCCAACATTTAGGCCAACACTGAGCACACCAGTGGCCTGAAAAATAAACACCAAAACCGAGGCTACCTGCTGCATCCAAATGGACCTGCAAAGAGCCCCCAGGTGACAGGGGGGACTGCCAAATGGATATGCCATTGAACTTTTCAAGAAATTGGCACCAAATCCCAAGATTTGCCTTCATACTTCTTGTAACCCTAACGTGATGATGAGGAGCAGACACCCCTGATGTGGAACGGGCCAAACATGCAAAATTGGGGCAAAATTGAGGTGCCCCAACAGGGATTGCATCTCCTTCAGTGTGCATTTTTAGAGACCAGCATTTTTTGCAGTAATAGGCGAAGGGAAGAAAGCTTATCCTCAGGAAGCCTAGAAATGTCCAATTCGGAATCCAGTAATATGCGAGCTGTGTTGTAGGACCCTCAGTTTTATCCTTTGCAAGGGGAATTCCCAATTCAGCTGCCAATGACTGAAAGGTGGCCAAGTGAAAGGTACACTCTGGGGAACCAAATGGACCAATAGACAGGAAATCGTCAAAAGAATGGGTGATATGGGGGCTATTTGCTCTGCCTTTTGCTACAAACTCCAGAAAAGAACGAAAGGCCTCAAAAGTAGCACAGGCTACGGAGCACATACCATCCACATACCATAGGCCATCCAGCTTAAAACCCAGCAGGCAAAAATCAGCTGGATGAACGGGCAGAAAGCGAAAAGCTGACTGGATGTCACATTTTGCCATGAGGGCACCAGGGCCACAGGATTGGACTAAACGAACCACCTGATCAAAAGTTGCATACTTAACTGAACAAAATTCTGGAATAAAATAGTTAACCAATGAGCCCTTAGGGTATGAAAGGTGATGTATAAGGTGGAATTCACCTGGGGCCTTCTTAGTAACCACCCCATGTGTGGAAACCCTAAGATTATTAAATGGACTGAAAAAGGTCCTGCAATCCTGCCCTCGGCACATTCCTTTTCCACCTTATGTCTGCCTACCTCTGGCCGATCCCTTGCTGATTTGAGGTGCCCACATTCTGTCGGCAAATGTGGACCATCATATGGGATTCTAAAACCTGACATGAAACCGTCCCTCAAAAAGACTGCCATTTTTTAATTTGGGTACGATGCAAGCAAAGGTTCCAGAGCCTGAAAGCAAATTGGGGTGCGTGCCAAGGAAAAAACAGGTGTATCCTTGCTATTATGGAGCTGCGGTGGCTCAAGTGGTTAAGACACTGAACTGCAGGCTATGGAAGGTCGGTAGTTCAGCAGTTCAAGACCCGGGTGGCCCCAAGACGGAGTGAGCTCCCGTCTCTAGTTCCAGCTCCTGCCAACCTAGCAGTTCGAAAGCAAGAAATTGCAAGTAGATAAGTAGGTACCACTTTGGTGGGAAGGTAACAGAGTTCCGTGCGCCTTGATGTTTAGTCATGCCGGCCACATGACCACAGAAACATCTTCGGACAGCACTGGCTTTTCGGCTTTGAAACGGAGATGAGCACCGCAACCCTAGAGTCAGATTCGACTGGCTTTCGAGCAAGGGAACCTTTACCTTTATCCTTGCTATTATTTTGAACTGTTTGTACTGTTGGAATTACCGGATCCTGCTTCCTTTTCCCCACTGGCATTGGAAGAGGACTGGGATCCTCGAAAGGGGTGAGAACCACTGCGAGAGCATGACCGCCTGGGATGCGGGACCAAAACACACATCACAATGATGATCAAACTTGCATTTTGTGCGGCTACATTTACCCTGGATCCACTTTGACCAGCCAGATTTTATCATGAATGAGGTCTCCACCTGGCCACCGCGCTATAAGAGGCCCTTTTCCGAAAAGCCTCATCCTATTCTATCTCATTGGCCATAGTGTGAGCCTTCAAAACGTCTGCCATGTGATTGACCAAATGCCAGCCACGCTTGGGATAGGATTTAACCCCCACCCCTATAAAGACTGCATAGCCAGGCATCCAAGTTATGAAATTACGCTCCACTGCCATTTTGGAATTATTTTTCCCTGACTGGGGCCCACACATGCCCTCCTCCCTATCCAGCTTCAGCAAAGAAAAAATGTCTACATAATATCCATCCAGGATATGTTCCTGGATCTTTCTAGGCAGATAAATGCCCGGGGGGGTCTTCTGTATTGCTAAAGGCCGGAGTAGCTCTGTTAGCATCTTGCAGTTCCAATCCCCATACTGCACCAGGACCTGCTGCCTCCCCTCTACGCTTCCACGCCCAAGGTGGCAAACTGAGAATATGTGCTCCTGTTTCCCAATAGTCCCCCCCCTTGCATGCGTGGAATCCTCATCAGAGGCAGATACACCTGACCCTGAGTCATCACTGGCTTCCTCACGCTCCCGGGCAGATCATGACTCGCCCTTCCTGGAGGACTTCTTCTATCACTTTGGATGATTTTGGACCTCCTCCTCGTCGCTGGATGAGATGGACTCCACGGGAGAACGTGGCCTCTTAGGTCTGCTCTTACGCCCTGGTGCGGTCTGCGTTGGCTGCCTTTCCATCTTATCAAAAGGCTCAGAAAGGCGCTCCAGAGTCTGCGCAATGCCCATCAGAACAGTAGAACTATCGATTGCTGGTGTAGCAGCAAAAGCATTGCCAGTGGCGGGGGGGGGTTAGTAGAATTGTTGAGCATGGACCTTGCCCGTGCCTGAGTTACTTTCTTGCCTCCACCTGAGGCAGAAGAGGGGCCAGGCATAGCTGGGGGCGGGTCCCTAGCAGCCCTTTTTGCTGACCTTAATATAATTTTTGAGGCAGTGCTTTCCCCCCCCCCAGCACTTTTTGTGGGGGGCACCCGGCTCTTCCTTGCCATGGCCTTTTTAGTTGTAGTTGAGCGTTTAGAAGGCAACTTACCAATTAACTATATCAAAATTGAAATCAACTTTAAAAACTCAAAAGTGAGCCTGCCGTCAGTGAACTATCAATTAAATTGCCCACAGGAAGCCCACCACTTTGTTAAAAGCTAATATGACTGTAATTGCTATAACCAGAGCGTATCCGACCCAGATGATCCTGTTAATGAGAATAGAACTGCAATTTAATACCCTATGAACAGAACCTGAATAAGGACGTGTACAAAAAAACCTATTACAGACTTAAATTAAGCATGTATCCTGGGGCAGCCGGCTATGAAAGTTGGCCATAACAATAGCAAACCCACTAGCAAGTAGATACCTATTATAACCAGTGTTCTCTCTAAGCTGAGTTAATGTGAGCTAGCTCACAGCTTTTTAGCCTCCGGCCCACACATTTTTGTCTGAGCTCAGGAAGGATGGCTCCAGGGCAAACTAATTTAAGCAGCAGCCAAATCACTCGCTCACAACTTTAATGTCAGCAGCACACAAAGTAGAATTTCCTCCCCTCACAAGACTCCACAGCTGAGAGGGAGCACTGATTATAACCCAATAACAGTACTTGCTGAGCAAAGAAACCAAAAGCATCCCAGTTAAGCAGACAAGTGGGGAGGGGAGTGATCGATCCAACGAAAATCACACTGCCACACCTCACTGGCAGTGCTGCTTAAATTTTCCCAGGCAGGCTCTACGTCATCTCTGCACAGAGCGGGCCAAATTTAGGGCAACCAATAAGCTGGTGTCACCCAGCTGACGTGGAGCCAGCCAACGTGGTCACCCCAGGTTCCCGCCTCTGCTCGCCGTTAGCCCAATGGGGGGGGGGGAGAAGACCTACTCCAGCCCTCTTCTGCCCATGCAGCAATCCACACTTTTCAGGTTAGTCTTGGCCATGTTTGGTGGTTTGGCTTCTTGTGTGGCTCCTGATTAGACCTCTTTCTTTATTCCAGCAGGAAGAAGGCACTAAAATATTTACGGAGTAGATTTAAATTCAATGGCAGATCAGACCACCTTGTGTGGATTCTAACAGAATCTCTCTCTTTATTCGAGCAGGAAGAAGGCACTGAAATATTTACAAAGTAGATTTAAATTCAATGGCAGATCAAACCTCTTTGTGTGGATTCTAACAGGATCTCTCTCGTTATTCCAGCAGGGAATGATCAGAGGAATGAGAAAGATGAGGAACTTCATCACCTGTTGCCAGATGTAGTAAAGGATGAAGACTTGAGAGGAAATTTCAGGAATCAAGGCAGACATAAGAGGCAAAAAGGAAGCCACTTGTTTGAGAACAAAGATAAAAACATTCCTTTCCAAGGGGGGGATTTCCATGAAGTAATTCACATGGTGGAGGAACCATACAAGTGCTTGGAGTGTGGAATGAATGTCTCAGATCAAACCCAATATAATAGCAGTTCACACTGTGGCAAGACCATCTCAGGGAAATCAGACTTTGTTCATTCAGGAGAGAAACTGCTTATCTCCTCAGAGGGTGGAAAGACATTCTTTGATGGGAAAAGTGATAATATATATTTTCCAAAGTACAGCATAATGAAGGCCCATAAATCTTTTCAGTGTGAAAAGGACTTGAAATACAGATCACAGCTCCCTGTACACCAAAGAATCCACAGAGAGGAGAAATCTTCTGAGTATGCAGAGAGTGGAAAGAAGTTGAGTCAGAGTGGTACTCTTAAAGATCATCAAAGAATACACACAGGGGACAAACCTTATCAGTGCTCAGAGTGTGGGAAGAGATTCAGACAGAGCGGCAGTCTTCAGGAGCACCAAAGAACCCACACAGGGGAGAAACCTTTCGAGTGCTCAGAGTGTGGAAAGAGCTTCAGTCAGAGTGGCACTCTTCTCCTGCATCAAAGAATCCACACAGGGGAGAAACCTTTTGAGTGCTCAGAGTGTGGAAGGAGATTCAGTCAGAGTGGCAGTCTTCAAAATCATCAAAGAACCCATACAGGGGAGAAACCTTTTGAATGCTCAGAGTGTGGAAAGAGATTCAGTCACAATGGCAGTCTTCAGTATCACCTAAAAACCCACACAGGGGAGAAACCTTTTCAATGCTCAGAGTGTGGAAAGAGATTCAGTCAGAGTGGCACTCTTCAACTGCATCAAAGAACCCACACAGGGGAGAAACCTTTTCAATGCTCAGAGTGTGGAAAGAGATTCAGTGAAAGTGGCACTCTTCAATATCATCAAAGAACCCACACAGGGGAGAAACCTTTTCAATGCTCAGAGTGTGGAAAGAGATTCACTCGGAATTTTTCTCTTCACCAGCACCTAAGAATCCACACAGGGGAGAAACCTTTTGAATGCTCAGAGTGTGGAAAGAAATTCCGTTATAGTGACAAGGTTCAACGTCACCAGAGAACCCACATAAGGGAAAAACCATTTGAGTGCTCAGAGTGTGGGAAGAGATTCAGACAGAGCGTCCGTCTTCAGGAGCACCAAAGAACCCACACAGGGGAGAAACCTTTCGAGTGCTCAGAGTGTGGAAAGAGCTTCAGTCAGATCAGCAGTCTTCAGTTGCATCAAAGAACTCACACTGGGGAGAAACCTTTTGAATGCTCAGAATGTGGAAAGAGATTTAGTTGGAGTGGCTTTCTTCAACAGCATCAAAGAACCCACACAGGAGAAAAACCTTTTGAGTGCTCGGAGTGTGGGAAGAAGTTCAGTCAGATCAGCAGCCTTCAGTTGCATCAAAGAACTCACAGTGGTGAGAAACCTTATGAATGTTCAGAGTGTGGAAAGAGATTCAGTCGGAGTTTTTCTCTTCACGAGCACCTAAGAACCCACACAGGGGAGAAACCTTTTGAATGCTCAGAGTGTGGAAAGAGATTCAGTCGGAGTTTTTCTCTTCACGAGCACCTAAGAACCCACACAGGGGAGAAACCTTTTGAATGCTCAGAGTGTGGAAAGAGATTCAGTCGGAGTTTTTCTCTTCACGAGCACCTAAGAACCCACACAGGGGAGAAACCTTTTGAATGCTCAGAGTGCGGAAAGAGATTCAGTCGGAGTGGCCATCTTCAGCTGCACCGAAGAACCCACACAGCGGAAAAATCGTTTGAGTGTTCAGAATGTGGGAAGAAGTTCAGTCAGAGTGACAGTCTTCAGTTACATCAAAGAACTCACAGTGGGGAGAAACCTTTTGAATGCTCGGAAAGAGATTAAGTCAGAGTAGCACTCTTCTGCTGCATCAAAGAACCCACACAGGGGAGAAACCTTTTGAATGCACAAAGTGTGGAAAGAGATTTAGTCAGAGTGGCTTTCTTTCTTTTTCTTTTTTATAACATTTATTTATCCTCTTCCATGTTGTGTATCGGGTTACATAAGTTACATATGTAGGAGTGGCGTTCTTTAACAGCATCAAAGAACCCACACAGGAGAAAAACCTTTTGAGTACTGAGTGTGGGAAGAAGTTCACTCAGAGTGGCAATCTTCAGTTGCATCAAAGAACTCACACTGGGGAGAAACCTTTTGAATGCTCAGTGTGGAAAGAGATTCAGTTGGAGTGGTTCTCTTCATCAGCATATAAGAACCCATGCAGGGGAGAAATATTTTGAATGCTGGTGTTGGAGGTACAAAAAGGCTCAGAAAATAGTTACACAAAGAAAGGCGTGTTTACCCAGTATGCTGTAATGGTTAAGAGTGGTGGACTCTAATGTGGAGAACCGGATTTGATTCCCCACTCCTCCACATGAAGCCAGCTGGGTGACCATGGGCCAGTTACAGTCTAGATGACCATGAAGATCTCTTCCAATTCTTTGATTCTATGAGTTCTCTCAACCCAACCTGCCTTGCAGGGTTTCTGTTGTGAAGAAAGAAAGGGAAGACAATTGTAAGCTGCTCTGAAATTACTTTGGATAGAGAAAAGTGAAGTATAAAACCAACTCTTCTTCATAGTAGTTGGCCTCCTCTGTAAACGTAGCCACTTCAGGTTATCTGCCAAGTTAAGTCTTTCAGATGTCTGCAATTTTAAGTATTGGCTGTTACACACAAAGTATTAAAGTTTTGGCTATTAGGACTTCCAGTTTTCAGTGTGGCAAGGACATTTGGTCCCAGGAGAGCTCCCCTGAAGCTGTCTGGATCACTGGGTTTAGAGGGGATTTAAACTCTTTTGGAGCCCCCATGGATCTCCCCATAGAGGAGTCCAAGCAAGGGGCTTGATCTTGGACTCTCTGCAAGTGGATTGAGTCTGAGATCGCCCCAAAGCCCCAACCCATGTGAGAGCATCTATGGACTCCATAGCTGTGCAGCTGGGATGAGAGGAATGCATCTGACTTCATACAAAATTCTAAAAGAAATCCTAACACTGTGAGTACTTCTAAAACCTTGAACTGAGAGGAGATTCTCTATTTTGATCTAGCCCTTTAAAAAGAAAGTGGAAATGAGAGAGGAGGAGGGATCTCCCCCCCCCACTTCAGAAGCGGCTTGGAAAAGAATTACTACTTTAATACATATAAAATACCTTTAAGGGCTAAAAGAAATGGTTGAGGTCTGGATTTAACAACTTTTTGATTGACCCACTTTAGTATGATTTGACCCAATTTATTCCTGCAGAAAGCTTTTGATAAAGTTCCTCATCAAAGGCTCCTAAGTAAGCTCAAAAATAATAGGATAAAAGGACAAGTCCTTTTATGGATCAAAAACTGTCTAATTAATAGAAAACAGAGAGTGAGTATAAATGGGCAATTTTCTCAGTGGAGGGTGGTAAGCAGTGGGGTATATAATGGGATAAAAGTGGATCAAAAACTGTCTAATTAATAGAAAACAGAGAGTGAGTATAAATGGGCAATTTTCTCAGTGGAGGGTGGTAAGCAGTGGGGTATATAATGGGATAAAAGTGGATCAAAAACTGTCTAATTAATAGAAAACAGAGAGTGAGTATAAATGGGCAATTTTCTCAGTGGAGGGTGGTAAGCAGTGGGGTATATAATGGGATAAAAGTGGATCAAAAACTGTCTAATTAATAGAAAACAGAGAGTGAGTATAAATGGGCAATTTTCTC